AGGAATCGAACCCAGGGCCTCAGGCATGCAAGGCAAGCGCTCTACCACTGAGCCACCTTCCCAGCCTCAGTAAATTCATTTTTTAAACTTGAATATTTTCAACTTAAAATGGGTAAAGGGGTGGGAAACCATATAAGGTCCACAAAATCATTTGGTTACGTGACAGTACAGACACATAATGCTTCTTCTTGGCTGCCCGAGGCCCATTTGCCTGTATTGGTAATTTTGTACGGTCCGGAATGATGTTATAAATATCCAATGGCCCTTGGCAAGAAGAAGAAGAAAGAAAAAAAAAAGGCTTCCTACCACAGGAACATAGCCTCATCATTATGTCAAGGAGCATCTGTTTATCTCACCTATGAATTTACTTTCCTGTCTAGAAACAAACTTCATGGAGACAGGAGTTTTGTTTCTTACTCAACAGTTATGTATAGATAAGGACTCAATGTTTGTCAAAGAGTGAATGAATGGAAATACATAGTGCCTTCCCCCTCCCCAATCTCAAAACTCTAAAGTGCTTTGTCCAGTACCAAAAGAGTGTGAAGTCTTTTCCTTTCTAACAAATTACTATCATCACCTGTGCTGTCAAAGGATCACGTGCCAATTTCCCAGCTACATGCCACTTTTAAATTATTTTTCCAATGTCCTCTTCTGATGTAACATCTGATGTAACAAAAAGTACATATTCCAGTTTAAGCAATCCAAAAGCTGCTACACTGACTAGCAAAACATAAAAATAAAAAAACATCAATGAATGAGAGCATTTGTGTTCTAACCAAAAAAGCCACACTCTTCAAGGCCAGATCGGCCAATAGGATTAAAGTTAAGGTACCGAAATGATGACCATAAATAACTAATAAAAATCTCCTTCCTAAATCTAGGTAGTCATTAGTCTCCAAAAAGGAAGACAGTACTTAAGGAAAAAACATCTTCCCAGAATACAACACTGGGGACTAAAATTGCTTGTAATCCAAGTTACACAGCACTGGGTAGAAGCCCATTCGGAGGTTCTAGACCGTTCATTTCTTACAAGTTATATTGGATATACTTACCATCTTTCTTACAGAGAGACTAAATGTGTTTAAGTGCTTTGACTTTCAGGAAACTGACGGGGGACGGGAGGAAGGAGGAGCAGGACTAGATAAATGCAAAGCACAGTCACTGCTTCCCAAACACGGGCATCCAATCTGTTTCTTTAATACACGACTGCCGTGCTCGCTTGATCTCTATTTCAGCCACACAAAACTGCAGTGCTCGGAGTGCTTCGTGGGAAAACTGCTTTACACCTAAGGCTGACAATAATGCCCGCTTCAACCTGCCGAGAACGTTCGGATCCCAAAAGCTTCCAGGGGCTCGACGCTCCCCGCCCGTCCTAGGATCCCATCATGGCTCCACCTTGCCTCGGGCCTGGTCCAGACCCAGTCCGCTCACCACGGAAGCAGCCTTCCCCCCACGTCGTGCAGATGCTGGGTGGGGGAAAGCCGGGGCGCACCTCCCGCGGGCCGGCCCGGGGCAGCTGTCGGCCGCGGCAGCTGTTACCCGGCGTACCCCGAGGCTGGGCGGGCTCCGGGGGCAGCGCCAGGCGAGCGCCGGGGCCCGGGGCGAACCGGCCCGACGCTGCCCACCGCCCTCCGCCCGCCGCCGAGACCCCCGCGACGCCTCGGGGGCCCCGGCAGAGGGGCTCCCCCGAGGCCGGCCCGGGCCCGGACCCCGCGGCGCCCCTCGCCCGGGAGGCAGCCCCCTCCCGCCCCTCACCTGACCTGTCCCCTCGCCAAGACGCCCCAAGCCGGCCGCGGCCGCTGGCTGGGCAGCCCGGGGGGTGTCCATGCGGCCGGCTTGGGCCGGAGCTGCGGGGACGCGAGTGAGGCTCAGGCGGCCCGGGACGCGGCGGCAGGGCCGGGGCGCGCAGCGGAGCCAGGCAGGGGAGCGGGACAGAGCCACTGGTTACCTGCGGTCCGGGACAGGGAGTCTCTCAGAACCCAAGTCAGCCCTCAGCCTCAACAACACAAGATGGCCGACACGTCGCCACGCACGTCACGTGACTGCGCGCGCTCCGCCACGCCCCCGGCCCCGCCCACTCCCCTGGCCTGCCTCCCTCCCTACTCTCCAGCCTCCCACGACGCGCTTCCTTTCCGCTACCGCCCACCCCTCGTCCAGACCCGCCCCTTTCCGAGACCCGGATGACGTTCTGGAAGAGGGCGGGATGGTGGCGACACGCAGGCGCGCGTGGGCTCCGGGCTGCAGCTCCTCGCCTGCCCTTGAGTGGAGCCAGTGTCCGGGCTTGGAGCCCGGCCAGGGACCCTGAGGACTCGCCGTCCTGTGCTCCCGCGCGGGGCCAGCTCGCAGCTCAGAAAACTCCGCATCGCTTATCAGCTGGCCTTCCAACTGCAACTTTTCCCCAGCTTTTCGTCCAGCAGACTCGTGGAACTGGGGGTGCATTTTGGAGTGTTGGAACGTGACCTCCGGGAAGGACTTCAGGGGTGTCCCCTGGTACAGCTGGGTCTACGAAGCCCTCCTGGTGTCGGGGGGCCACGTAAAATACCAGAACTCAGCAATGTCCGGGACACACCTTGCATGTGTGACATTCACATCCAGCTGGGCTTCTTTGCTTAAGCTGCTAGGGCTGCCTACCTTCTAAGGTCGTTCTTTACATGTCATCCTTACGTGTCTTTACATGTTCTTTACATGCCATCACTCCCTCCCTCCCCGCCCCTCCGAGCTGGGCATCCAACCAGGGGCTCACACGCCAGGCAAGTGCTCTACCATTGAGCTCCACCCCATGCTCTCAGTCTCTCGGTTCGTCTTTACAGGATCCAACTACACACACACACACACACGTCTGAAAATTCGATGTAAGAACTAGTGTCACTTAGTATAATTTTTTTCAAGTCTTTCAATTTCCTTATGAATGGTACAGTAGCACTCTTTCTGAGGGGTGAGTAGAATTTCATTGTGTGTATATATACCACATTTTCTTGATCCATTGGTCGGTCCATTGAGGGGCATCCGGGCTGATTACATTAAGTGAAGTAAGCCAGACCTGAAGAAACAAAAGTTGCATAGCATCCCTCATTTGTGGTAGCTAGACTGTACCTATAAATCTATAAGTAAACACACTGGGTGGTATACAAGTGGTTACAAATGAATGAACAGACAAATGAATGAATAATAGACTCACTCAATGGAGAACTCAAATACTTTAATTCTTTAGAAAGTCTAAGTCAACGCCCAACAAAATAAGTACCAGGAAATGGGTACTTGGGGTGCGGGCACACGGGAAGAGGGGTAGGTGAATAAAAGAAAAGTATTCAAAAAAAGAAAAAAGAACCACAGTTTTCCCTTCTATCTCTCAACTTCTGTGCTTCCTTTCAAAGCCAAACTGCCAAAAGAGCTCTTATTCATCTCCAACTTACCTTAAGGACACCTTAACCTACAGGTTGATAATGAGATTTTTGTCTTCATCAATATGATTAACCACTTCCCTTGACCTTTTACTGCTCAAAGTAGTCAAGCATCAGCATCACTTGACGGCTTGTTAGAAAAGCAGATTCTCATGCAGTGCTAGTGGCTCACACCTGTAATCCTAGCTCCTCAGGAGGCTGAGATCTGAGGATTTCAGTTTGAAGCCAGCACGGGCAGGAAAGTCTAAAAAAGACAGAAATAGATCTGTGGCATAATTAGTAGAGCACTAGCCTTGGAGGAAAAAAGCACAGGGACAGCACACAGGCACTAAGTTCAAGCCCCAGGACCAGCATTAAAAAAAAAAAAAAAAAGCAGGGCACCAGTGGCTCACACCTGTAATCCTAGCTACTCAGGAGGCTGAGATCTGAGGATCACAGTTCAAAGCCAGCCCGAGTGGAAACTCTGTGAGACTCTTATCTCCAATAAACCACTCAGAAAACCAGAAGTGGTTTTATTTTATTTATTTATTTATTTATTTATTTATTTATTTATTTTTGTCGGTTGTGGGCCTGAACTCTGGGCCTGGGCACTGTCCCTCAGCTTTTCAGCTCAAGGTTAGCCCCCTACCACTTGAGCCACAGCGCCACTTCCGGCTTTTTCTGCTTATGTGGTGCTGAAGAATCGAACCCAGGGCCTCATGCATGCAAGGCAAGCACTCTACCACTGAGCCACCTTCCCAGCCCTAGAAGTGGTTTTATGACTCAAGTGGTAGAGTGCTAACATTGAGCTGAAGAGCTGAGGGACAGCGCTCAGGCCCAGAGTCAAGCTCCATGACTGACAATAAATAAATGAAAAATCTCAAATCACCATCCTACCTGTATGATCCATACTGCCCCTCCCCCACCCTTGTGTTCTTACTGCAACTGTGCACCAGCGCCCTCCCACATGACATTCAGTGTTAGTGTTTGCACCTGCTATTCCCTTGCATTTTAGTGCCAAGTCCAACACATTCCCCTTCTTCCCAACAAATAACTCCTGTTCAGCTTTAAAAGCCTACAGGATCAAGCCCAGGGCCTTGTACATGCTAGGCAAGCAAACTACCACTGAGTTACATCCCCAACCCTCAGTGATGATGTCTTCAATCTCTTCCATAAAATCAGTTAATCCCTTGAACTATACCCTTTAAGCAAGAATAAAAACACATGGGTCATGTGCTAACCACCTCAGTAATGGCTTTGTTTGAATCCTCTTGGAATACTGGTGACCAAGCTAAGGAGCACTAGGAAAACCACCTGAGCTTCTGAGCAAAGTGCTTTTGGAATCTCAACCAGGAGTGGCTGATGGCAGAGCCACAAGCATGTGAAACTACCATCAAATCAAGGTACGGAAGTGTCTTCTTTTTTTTTTTTATTTTTTTCCAGTCCTGGGGCTTGAACTCAGAGCCTGGATACTGTCCCTGAGCTTTTTTGCTCAAGGCTAGCACTCTACCACTTGAGCCACAGCACCCTTATCAGCTTTTTTCTGTTTATGTGGTACTGGGGAATGGAACCCAGGGCTTCATGCATGATAGGCAAGCGCTCAACCACTAAACCACATTTGCAGCTCCTGGAACTGTCTTTGTATCACCCCCATTTGTTCCCCAGATGACCTTGGAAGTCAGCCCTGACTGCCCCTCCCAGCTGCTAGTTTCTATCCTTACCTTATTCTTAGCCTTCTATTATCATCTCATGACTGTCACATAGAACAGTAAAATCCACAGTTCACACTTTCGCTTAGCCCAATGCATGATTCATCCATATTGTTACTTTTTAAAAAATTGCTGAATAGTATTTCATGGGATATATGCTGATCCATTTCTTAGTTGAGAGACATTTGGGGTTGTTTTCAGTTCAGGAAGATCATTCACAAAGCCTCTATGAATAGTCACATAAAGGCATTTGTGAGAACACAAGTTTTTGTTCTACTTGGGTCAATATCTAGGAATGGGATTGGTACTGTGTATTGATTGTTTGACTTCATCAGAAACCGCCAAACTGTTTTTCAGCGTGTCTTAGGCCTACATTATAGGCTCCCAGAAAGCAGGAGCCAAATCAAAGGAAGGCTTATGATAGCAATCTAAAGTGACCAAACTCCATGTTTTTCCCATTATATATACTGCATCATTCAACTTTATATCCTCAGCCACTGTCAATAAATGCTCAATAGATACCTATGGAAGCAAATTCTTAATTACATAGTTTTTCTGTTCTGTTGTCATTTTATTTTGTTTTTTGTTTTTGTTTGTTTTTGTTTTGTGTATGTGTGTGTGTATGCTACTATTTTTCCACTTCTGACTTTTTGGTGATTAATTGAAGTCTCATAGATTTTTCTGCCCAAGGATGGCTTGGAACCATGATCCTCTGGTCTCAGGCTTATGAGTGGCTAAGATTACCAGAGTGAGCCAGCAGTGCCCCACCCTTTTCTAGTTTAGAAACAAATTTCCCTCCCCCTCAGCCCTTGTAATAGACAGTGTTGGTAGTAGTAAAAACAGCTGACTCACCGTGCCAGAAGAGGAGGGATGACACAGCTTCCACCACGCTTGACTAACTGGGTGCCAGTCCTGGGGCTTGAATAGAGGGGCTTGGGCGCTGTCCATTAGTGATTTTCCCAAGGGTAGCACTCTACCACTTGAACCACAGCTTCTCTTCTGGCTTTTTGGTGGTTAATTGGAGATAGTCTGATAGACTTTCCTGTCTGAGCTGGTTTTGAACTGCTAACATGATCTCAGCTTCCTGAGTAGCTAGGATTCCATGTGTGAACCCCACCACCAAGCTCAACTTTTGTTTTTGGAAACAAAGAAAATCCAAATGTCCTGTGGCTGCTTGAAGCCCAGCCAACAAGGACAGGCCCATGTGCCTCGTTGTCCCCTCAAGAGCCAGCATCCACCGGCAGACATCTGAGTGCAAAGGCCACTGAGAAGTTTGATTAGAAGCCAGGACATCCTGGAACAAGCACCTTCACATGACGCAGTGTCTGGATTTTTTTTTTTTTT